CCCTTGTATAGGCCCGTCACTGGGATGGGCTCTGAGCACCCACTGAGCTCATGGCCCTTGTGGTCCAGGTGGGGGGACTGAGGCCCAGAGAGATGAGGGGCTCACTGAGAATGATGCAGTAAGCCAATCCTGCCTAAGTGGATTCCCAGTCCTACCTCTTTCTCTTACCCTCATTCCTCTCTACATCCCCTGGAGGGAAGAGTCACTCCAGCCTGACCAAGGCCCTATCAGATTGGGGAGAAAGTGCTCTGCCAGGCCCAAGATTCTTCCCCTCATTCTGGTCTGTAAGGAGAAACTGGTTTCTTTTATTTCAAAGCTTTCTGGACTGGGACAGTAAGAACCTTCACTCTCTTCCTGCTTGGGGGTAAGAATCCTGAGAAGGGGGAAGTGGCTACATAGCAGGGGAAACAGAGCAGCTCCCAGCCCATTGGGTAACTCCGTGAGCCAGCATCACGATGCTCCCAGGAAGGAAGTTGGGTGTGCAGCTGAGGGTTGGGTAAGCGGGTGAGGGAGGAGGAAGGGGCAGAGGGTGGCCACATGGGCCCAGGCTGCCCCAGGGGGTTCACCAGACACTAGAGGCTCTGTGTTTGTTCTTCCCTTTGCAAGGAGTGCTCCCCCAGTCCTGGCTCTGCAGGCTCTCCTTATGAGATCTCTTGAGGGATGGGGCTGGGGACACAAGGGCCTGTTTGTGTCTTCTATCACATGCGCCACTCTGAATTCTTATTGGGTTCTAATTCACCATGGGTACTGGTCCCCCAGCACACCAGTCCCAGGAAGAGGGTGGGGCCTGTGTCTTTGTGCTGCAGAGGAAGCACTTGATCACCATTTGTTGGATGAATGAACACAAAACTCACTAATTTCCCACAGTACTACCTTGGCTATCTCCTACACGGAAGGAGCAAGCATGGGAGGCCTGATTCTGGGAGCTGTTCTAGGTGCTGTCTGAACATGGGAGGCCAGCCCACCCTGTTTCAGCCCCCTTGAACAGGAGATGGAGAAACAAGAAGGCTCTTCTTTGGTGGATACCCTGTGCTCCCCTAGTCCACCCTGCTGGAGTGGTACTTCCCATTTATGCTCTGGAAGCCTCTGGTTGTCACTCCCAGAATAGAGGAGAGCAAAGGGGAACCCTACTGATTGCAAAGGAACAAAGTTGCCCAACCCCAAGCTGGCCACAGGTAAAGGCAGTGAGGAGTCACAGAATCAGCTTGGCAGAGCCTGAGGACCCCTGGCACTTGCTTCATTTGCTATGTGGAAACACAGGTTCAGAGAAGGGAAGACACTTGCCCCAGGTCACACAGCAAGCCTGGGTGCTCTCAATGAAGCATCTAAGACTTGAGGGCCTGGAATCGTAAGCCATTTTTTGTGGTTTGGGATGCCCTGTTGCAGCATCCTGTGACTGGCTGGTATGGGGATGAGGAAAAGGAGGAGAAATAATCCTGAGTTACTTTTTCTTCCAAATTATTTCCTGGACAAAGGGCATAATGGTCAGAGTCCTAGGTGTTAAGGTTGGTGGCCAACACAAGTATAGCTCCTCTAAGGGGATCAGACTGGGGCCAGGGTGCAGGCCAAGCCTTCCCCTGTGTGCTCCTCCTGTGCATTCCTCATATTTGGGCTTATGGGGAGTCAGAAGACAGTGCTTAGGGTGTACCTCCCTTCTCCCATCAGCAGAGCCCTCCTGCCCAGCTCTGCCTCCTGGCCTGTATTCTGGTCCTACTTTTCCAAGTTCTGCTCAGAATCTCAAAGTTGGCAGAGAGTAGGCTCTGTAAAGAGCAGCAGCATGTTATGATACATAAACAAAAAAACCAAGGTCCTCCAGAGCTGAGGGGGCCATGACGTGGAAGGTGCAGAGAGATAATGCCTACCCTGTCAAGAGCTGACTAGTTTTGGTAGAATTCTTGCTCAAGATTATATAATAAGTTATGGGCAAAAACGGTCATGCAATGCTTAAGCAGATTTTTGGTCACTACCAGAGTTAAAAATGAAGAGGAGGCCACTTTTACTTCTAGATCAAGCTCTGACAGCTCAGCTCATCAGCCCCTGTACACATCTTGCCACCCAGCAAATCTCCTTTCTACACTTCACACTGGGAGGGGAAGTTAGTGTGGGAGTCATGGCCTTTCCTATCAGAGCAAAACAACAGTGCCACTGGCTAGGCAATGGGGCTCCTCAGCAGGCCTTGGAAGTTGGGGCAAAGAGATAACGTTCAAAGAAAGGTTGAGCATTTGTCCCCAGGGAGAGAGAGAGAGACAAGGTAGAGATTAGGCCTCAGATTCTGCCTCTGGAACTAATTGACTGTGACATTTGTCAAGTCACAAACAGGTTTGAAAAAGACAGATACAGAACGAATAGCCTCCACTGTCTGCATCTCAGTTTTCCCCAGGGAGAAGGAAGGCTAATTAGACAGAAATGGGTTTACAGTCAATGGCTGTGCATAGATTTTAGAAATGCCTCGAAGTGATTGTACACCAGGTGGGGTTGGGGTCATAGTGGCACACAGGCAGGAGCAGGAGGAAGAGCCCAACTAAGCCGAGCACAGGTGGCTCCACAACAGTCAGCTGGGAAAGCTCAGGCACCTAGCAGAAAAGGATCTTAAGCAATGTTGCACTCTTAACTTTGGATTTTAAGATGCAGGGCCTGGGGGAGACTCACCGATGCACCCATGATGATGAAGATATGTGTTTCAGACTGATGGAAGGCATCACCCTGGTACAGCTCTTCCCGCAGGATCCCACACACCTGGGTCCGGCTCAGGGCCACCTGCTCTGCCATGATGCTCTCTGGTAAAAGAAAGACTTGTTGACAAGGCAGGAGAACAGAAGAGCATTGAGAAGTTGGCAGCTTTCTTGAGGTGTCTTTTGGGCTCTCACCCAGCTGAGGTCTGATTATTGAAATCACTTGCTGTGAGTG